AACACGGCTCAGTCCCGGCTTGTGCCGGGGCTGGGACCTACCCCTGCTGCAGCTCTGCATTTAAAGTGTATTAGGAGTGAGGCAGCCTGCCACTGGGCACGCCGGTGCGTCTCGTGGGGTCGTTGCCCTCAGCCCGGCTGCACTTGCTGCAGGCTGCCATCCGGGGGGTTCATCGGGGGGCTGTCAGGATCCAGGAGGCCCTGAGGGAGAGCGTCCACCCTGAGAAGCCCTCAAAGCTTCTCCGGTCCTCCCCACCGGGGGCTCGTGCCCCATTCCTCCCTCACGTCCTTCCACTTACTCCACTTACTCCAGCGGTGCGGGGCTGCGTGTACTGGCCAGCCATGAGCTCAGCCTCAGCCATCCAGGCTGGCAGGAAAGCCTCCCCCTTCCGCTCACATAAATTGTGCAGCACACAACATGTTGCCACCACGGGATGGATATTGTGCTCGGCGACGTCAAGGCGGGTGAGGAGGAATCTAAATCGGGCTTTCAGGCATCTGAAGGCCCCCTCGTCCACAATGTGGGCCCTGGTGAGCCTGACATTGAAGGTGAGCCTGCCAGGGCTGTAGGGGGTAGGCCACATCCCCCACCAGGTAGACGGGCATGTCCATGTCCCCAACCCTGATGTGGCAGTCGGGGAAGAAGGTCCTGGCATGCAGCCTCTAGCACACGGAGGTGTTGCAGAACACCCTGGTGTTGTGTGCCTTGCCGGACCAGCCCACATTAATGTCTGAGAACTTGCCCCGGTGGTCAGACACGGCGTGCAGGAGGACGGAGAAGTACTCCTTGCCGCTGATGTAACGGGAGGCCTGGTGTTCCGGGGCACGGATGGGGATGTGCTTCCCATCGATGGTCCCACTGCAGTTGGGGAAGCCGAGGGCATCCAACTCCTGGATGACCGCATCCGGGTCAGCGAGGTGGACCACCCTGAGGAGCAGCACCCAGTTGATGGCCTTGACCGCCTGCAGAGAAACACAGCACACCACGAATCACTGGGGCGCCCACGTGGCTGGGAGTGTTTGTTCCCTGGCACTGCCCCGCGCCCCACTCCCGGAAGCAACCCCCGCAGGCGGCGTGTAGTATGGCCAGGACAGACTGAACCCTCCCGTGCGGGGCAGTTTCGCCTCCTCCCCTCCCCCCTGGTTTTCCCTGGGGTGGCCCATTCTCTCCTTGCAGCCCGCCTCCCCCCTGGCCCAGTGGCCGGTGTGTGCCGTACCTGCATGAGCACTGCTCCAACGGTGGATTTCCCCACGCTGAACTGGTTCCCGGCAGATCGGTAGCTGTCCGACATGGAGAGCTTCCAAAGGGCAATGGCCACACGCCTCTGGAGGGGGATGACGGGCCTCATGCGAGTGTCCCGTCGCCGTAGAGCAGGGGCGAGCCACTCGCAGAGCTCCAGGAAGGTGTCCTTCTTCATCCTGAAGTTCTAGGCCCACTGTTGGTCTCCCCAGCGTTCCAGGACGATGCGATCCCACCAGTCGCAGCCACTGCTGGTGTCCAGACACCAGATATGGCGGGGCACGCTGGCGACTGGGCGCTGCTGTGGCTCCTCGACGGTCCCCAGGGAGGCCAGGGGGAGAGACAGGGGGCTGACGTGCACCAGATAGTGCCAGGCAGCCTCCAGCCATTGGTGGCAGGCTTACAGCAGCAAGTCCGAAAACTGGAGCAGAATGCCCAGGGCGAGCTCTGGCTCCATGGTGCCAACTGTGGCGGCGTCCCCAATGGGAAACACCGACACAGGTAGGTGGAGAGGAAAACGCTTTGCTGTCCCTCGGCGAGGTAGGCAAGCAAGCGGAAAAGCTGAGCACCAGCTGTCCAGGGGAGTCCCTTTAAGCACGAGCCTCAGATAGCCTCAGACAGCAGCCACACAAAGCAACTATTGACCTGATGCCCTGCCGGAACCGGTTTCAGCTGCCCTTAAATGCGACCCAGCGTCCAATCAGTGTGGACGCGCTATTTTGAATTAGCAAAACGCTAATTCAAATTAGTTTTTGGGTCTAGATGCGTTATTTCGAATTAGCTTATTTCAAATTAACTAATTCGAAATAAGTTAGTTCGAATTAGCGCTGTAGTGTAGACATACCCTATATATTTAACAACGAATGTCCTAAAAACAGTTCAAAAGGTACACAAAAGATCTGTCTGAGAAAAGTTTTTTAAAAAATATAACAGGGTTTGCTGTCATTTCTTCCATCGAAGATGATGTAGCTTCAAAAATAAATACAAGGATTCATATTTATATCCTCACATTGTGGAATGTTATTATTACACATGGAGCTATCTTTCACTTTATTGAATTTCTTAGTTGTTTTCTTCTTGAAAAATCAAACAGTGCATCCAGAATATTTCCCCCTCTACTCTTCAATGTGTGTGGTGTGTAATTTCATGTCCTTGAAAAAGTAACTTGAGAAGTCCCGTGGAAGTTATGACCTTCCTCTTTCACAGTGCAGCATATGATCTGATATATGAGGCCACAACTTTTTATTTATAGTCAATATTACCTGATGGTGTTCACTGTAATAATAGGGTGTTTTAGAATTACAGATTGTATGAATTATATAATTAAGTTCAATTGAACAATGTCTGTATGAAAAGTTTTAAATCACTTCTTGATAAAAACTTGTAACTTATTGAAATAAAAAATGAGTTTCCAAAACAATAACCAAAAATATCCTTGGGTGGGAAAAGCCTTGACTAAGATACTAACATATATATCAACTAATTTAAAAGTTCATGCCATCTGAAATCTTAGATTAACAATTTTCCACAATATTTTGTATCTGTTTTCCTTAGTACGAGTGACTCTTACTTACCATTCTCTTTATTTACTGGCATCTATAAAAATACATCACCCTAGATTTACTGTACTGTAGTTGTTATTAACACTTATCTCTGCGCTAGCTCAAAAGCTTTTCTCTTTCACCAACAGAAATGTTGATCAAATAAAATATATCACATCACCCACCTTCTCTCTCTAATTTCAGCTTGCAACTGTTAAACAACAAAACTTTGCCTCCTTCTGCACCAAACAAAACAATTCAGTTTGATAGATTTAATCCAGGGGTGGGCAATAATGTTTTATGAGGGGCCACGCTAAGATTTTGGTAAGTGGTTAAGGACTACACTTTTCTATAGAGCAGGTTCAGGATCTGGGACGAAGGCTGATTGCAGAAGGGAGCTTGGGGGATGGGGTACAGGAAAGGGTGTGAGGTCTGAGTGGAAGTTTCGGTGAAGGAAGGGGGTTTGCAGCAGACAAAGCTTCTCCCTACCCCCGGCACAGAGTGGCAGATGGAGCAGTCAGCCGCTCTAAGCCCTGGGGCTGTTCCCTGCCATTGGGTCCAGTGGGGTGTGCTGCGGGCCAGAATGAAAGGCTTGGCAGGCCAGATTCAGCCCCCAGGCCGTATCTTGCCCACCTCTGATTTAATCCTTGCAACTGATTGTTCTTTAGGACTCTTCTAACAATTTGTAGTCCTAGATCAGACTATACTCTTTTAAAGTAAATGTTAATGTAGAAGACAAAGACAGTGACCTTCAGACCTTTGCACCAAATACCAGGTATCTGAGCAACCTTGTGGTGTTAGTCCAACATCCAAAAGATACTGGCAATGATTGGCTTTGCAGCATTTTATTGTAAGGATGCCTGCAGTAGGATTGTCAATGCTAATTAATGTTACTGTGGGAATCAAAGTCAGATAAGTTAAAAAACAAATCCAAGGAAAACAAATAATGGTATAAAACATCATAGGAATCTATTAATTGAGAATAAATATTCAAAGCATTTCCCCATGTTCCTGTTGATGGAAGATTCTTATAGGTATTCTCATACACTGAAGTCTGTTTATAAGCAGCACAGAATTTCTATATCAATCATTATTTAGAATACACCCTACCTATATTTACAGAAACAGAAGTCTAACTCCCTGTGCGGTGAAGCAAAGTAGGTTTAAAGTTTAGAGATTATTTACACCTTCCAAAAAGAAACATCTCTGAGGATAAACAAAATAAAGTGCTATGTAATAGTTATATTACTTTCCAATTCCTCCTTATTTTTAAATTTAAATAAAGAAAATTTTCAGTATCACTTCATTAAATATCACATGGAATAGCTCTCAAGAGGAATAATGGATGTAAACTGGAGAAACCTATGAAACTCTCTCTCTAAATTCTATGCTTCCTTCAATTTAAAGGAATAAACCAGTTGTGTACTTATTCACTGTTTGCTGTATTTACTGTAACACTGTCAATCAACTTTCTATTTAATACAATTACATATATAACTTACTAGTAAAGCAGGTGAATTAATCTTCTATTACTCAACAAATCACATTTAAGTCAACTATGGAGCAAACTCTGTGGAAAACTGTAAAATAAGAAATACACCTAGTACTACTTACTACATCTCATATTGATTTTACTTTCTTTTGTCCTTTCTGGTTTTGCTCCATGTTTGTTTCCTAATAGAGATTATGGTGTATCTTTTCCTAAAATGTCTTAAATGTCTGTTTCCACCTTTTCCTGCTCTTTCTCTCTTTCCTTACATTGTGTCCACTATCCTTCCTAAATACATTCTGTGTCCTGCCATGTCTCATTTCCCTCTCCTGCCCTCTATAATACACTTTTTTTCTTACTTCCCCCATCAATCTTTTTCATGTGCGCCTCTACACCCACACATAGAAGTTGCAAATTTTAATCCACATCTACTAGTTAAAGGCTGAAATAAAACTCGGAGGGTTCCCAAGAGAAGACTATATTTCTAAAATAAAATTTTCTGTAAACCTCTTTGTGAAGAGAGCAAAACAGAGTGCATTGCCATAACTCCCGTGAAAAGATCTGAGTCACTAGACAGATTACATGCAAGCATGTCCAACGCCAGTGAACCATGGGGGTCTTAATAGTTATTTATAGTATCTGCTACTTAAAATTTATGTAAGGGTTTTCCCCAAGGCCTTCACAGTCACACAGATTCAGCATCATGCAAAATAACTATAGCTGACTCTTACCCGATAACCTCTCCAGAATGACTGAATTATTTTGCATGCTTCTTCTTCTGATAACAGGAGAGACAGAGGGATTGGTGGTCTAGGACTAAATGAAAAAAAAAAATTTCAGCCTTTAAACATTGTTCTTACTCTTTTACAACATATCACTCTCAACAGAAAGGTTGTTCTATCTCTAAGATAAAATTTCTTACAAATAAATAAGTATTATTGAAATAATGTGCTCATTTAAAACAGTATCACATGTATAGTATTATACCAATTGTTTCTTCTCTGCAAACACCATAATGTAAATAATATATCAAGAACCGTATTATCCTTCAAATGTTTTTCATTCCTGCACTTTTATTATTTGGCTATTTTTTATAATTTATAAACAGTGAAAGCATGGCCGCATAATATGATGTACAAGACACAGAAGACCTTAGTATATATAGTGTAGAGATGCTACTTAAATGAATTTTATTCCATAAAACCATTTGAATTACGGTATATGTTCTGTTTAGATGGCACTGTTTTGTTTTGAAAGGATTACTGTTACCATAACCATGTGCAAGATATCCTGTAGACATGTCATAACAGGATCATAAAATAAATGGAAATTTTACCTTTAAAATAGTTAGACAGACCTTGCATTGTAAGGGCCAGAGTAATAAAATGGAAAAGAGCTCAGCAATTAATTTTAGCATAAATTGATGGTGATTTGAAAGTATTTACACCACATTCCGCTACCAATACTAATGACAATCACTTTACAGTATAACTAAGTTTAGTGAACATTTAGATAGATGTATCAAATCAGCTTTATAAAAGTCATTTCACCATGCTTGTGGATGTGTTTAGTTCTCATTTATACTGATCAACAAGCAACTACTGTAGTAGAAAGGATCAGATTGAAAGTAATTTCTTTGGGTTTTTTTGCTTCTTTTCAAAAGCAAGAAAATGTCATCCCTCTACTTAAAAAAAAAAGCCACTAGGCTGCAGATAAATGTCACAATTCATGAGAGTGGCCATTATAAATAGCTGACCTCCCATGACACTAGAATACCTATTAGAACTTGCTCCATCCTTAAAAAAAATAAATCACAGATTGAGCTTCTATGTACAAGTTTGATTTGGGAAGTTCAAAATGTTATACATCTGGATGATAAGGGTGATTGTTTGGACATAGCAATCAAGTAAGTATTTGCCCCAATCAGCCTTTATAACAGAATCCCATTTCTTCTTTTTCACAGAAATGAGAGATGGGAAGCAACTGATAAGGCAATATCCTTTCCATTGCACGTTTGTTCTTTACAGTCTATGCACAAATGCCTTGTTTAGTCCAATTGTAAATGACCAGAAGACTGGCTCTGCCACTATTTCTTTGGAAGACTAATCTACAGAGTAAAAGATCTCAAATTAAGAAGTTTTTCCATATATTCTGCTACATTTTTCTCTGTTTAGTTGTATTTATTTAATAAATATGTTTTCTTTGCCTTTGTCTTAGGGCTTGTCTTCACTGGAGTAGTACATTGAGTTAGAACACAACCTCATGGCCGGTGGGTGAACCACAGGCTCGGGGAGGTGAGCTGCCCAATGCCCTACCCCTTTCATCCTCCTTCCCCTGATGAAGCTCAAAATGTACCCAGCTCCCCACACCAGGCCACCAGAGCAGCCCCATCCCCACAAGGGCTGGGTGGGTGGTACAACTCCCCGTGTACCCAGCCCTATAGCGCCAGCTACTGAGGTACGAGTCCTGAGCACAGAGTGGGTAGCTCCAGCCCCGGCAGCTCCAGAGCCTCCAGCTCCAGCCACCACAAGTCCCAGCTGCAGGACAGCTACTTTAGCTTAGCCTCAGCACGTTTCCCAAAAGAGGAGCAGCCTGTCTAGGCTGGGACCAAGGGGGAAGAGGCAAACAGAAAGGGGCCTCAGGGCAGGACGTGAGCCAGGCCATATATGGGGTTGTTCAGGGAGGCATAACCTTCCTCAGCCTATGATATGCAATGCCAATGCATGACCTTAATTTCAACTAATACACAGTTGACCTCAACTCTACAGTCAGTGTACACAGGAACAAGTTGTGCTCAATATCCTGTCAACTGGGATTTTTGCCTTTATTTCTTTTATATGAAAGAAAATTTCAAACTGTGTCTGAGAAATCAGAAATGCAGAAAATAGCAGAAAGTGCTATTTCTATTACATCATATGGTAATATCTCTGTGGATCCCACGACAAAGGATTAATGAATATTTGAAATAGTAACACACGGAAACCTGTTGGGGAACATTTTAGCTTCCATTCACTAATGGATCTCTAAGTGACTATCCTCTTAAAAAGCAATTTCAGAAACTAGCTAGAGAGAGAAACTATGTAACTTGCCTTCATATGCAAATTTGATACATTTAACCGAGGATTGAACAAAGACACGAACTGGATGGGCCATTATAGTCAACACCCAAATGACATCAAAAGCTAAGTATCCGGCACTTACAGCCCACTCCATTAGCCTCATTTAGCATGGACACTTTAATTGACATTTCCCCCCCTTCCCTATCTCCCCTCTTTTTTTGCTATTTATTTGTACCTCTGGACCCCTTGCTCCATTCATCTGAAGAAGTGGGTTGTGCCCAAGAAAGCTCATGATGTCATCTATATTTTTTGTTAGTCTCTAAGGTGCTGCAAGACCATTTGTTGTTTTTTAATTTTTTTCTGTGGACATTATTAGCATTCCTATTGCATGAGAGAAATCATGAGGCTGGACAACCAAGATGCCTGAGTAAAATACTACTTGTAAAAAGTTGTATGGAGTGTTATTGTAGCTGTGTTGGTCCCAGGTCATTAGAGACAATATGGGTGAAGTAATATCTTTTACTGGACCAACATTTGTTGGTGAGACAGACAAGCATTTGAGTTGATGACACCACCCAAAATTATCAAGTCCTCACCAACAAACATAAGAAAAAAAAGAGCCATGTGAATGGACACTCCACTGCAGATAAACCATGTTCTTGATCGTTACATTGATTGCTTTCAGGAAAAAAAAATTGACTGTGAAATCCTTAACAAACATCAGATCATCCACAATCTCTTCACTGCCAAGAGGACAGCTATCAGTCACTGAAATCCAACTTCCAGATCATGGTGAAACCAGCAGACAAAAGATATGCCATCGTAGTCCTCAACCATGATGACCATGTTAAAGAGGTCAACTGACAACTCTTCGACACAATTTAGTTCTAGCACATAGAACTGAAAGAAGATCCCACACCACAATTTGAAGAGGAGTTCAAATCCTTCCCAAAATATCTTCAAGAGAAACTCTATAATTTTATTCCCCATGAACCTACCCGAGGGATCTTCTACATACTTCCCAAATTACACAAACATAGGAACCCAGGTAGACCCATTTTACCTGGCCATGCCATTCTTATCAAAGACCCTGACAGAACAACAGATGTGAAAACTGCAGACAAATCTCCACTGCTACCATGATTACCATCACCACAACACATCTTTCAAAATCAATGGGTTCTGTACTTCGTACAGTGCATTAAGTGCCCCAGTAAAAATCATGTGGGTGAAACCAGACAATCTCAACTTAACTTACATAGTAAAATGATAGAAGTCAGAAACACATATCACCAGCTGGTAAACACTTGGACTTCTCAGTCCTCACCCTCAAAGGAAACCTACACTACACCTTCAAAAGTTGAGACTAGGAGCTTAAATTCATACGTTTGCTGGATACTAGAAATCTGAACTGAATAGAAAAACAGGTTGAATCTCTCTATACTAGAACTCTCTGGTCCAGCAACATCTGTGGTTCAGTAGGACCACAGATATTCCTGGAACAGAAAGTCCTAATGGAGGGCAGTTGCCTAGGAGCCCTCCTGCAGGAGTCTGGCAGGGCAACAGGGCTGGTGGCAGAGGAGCAGAGCTGGCTGGGGCTAGCAGCCATGCTGGGGGGCCTGTGGCTTGGAAGGGGGCAGAAATTACCTCCCCATGTCCAGCAAAATCCCTCATTTGGGACAAGTTAGGTCCTGAGAGTGCCAGACAGGGAGATCCAACTTGTACTTGGCATATGGCTTATTAGAAAAATGTGTAATTTATTAACCATATTCCCCCCACCCTCCTGTTACTGCTGATATGTTAACAGGCCTCTTCACCTTGAATGGTTCCTTTAAATGTGTATTAATTACTTATGCTAAACTACCTATTCCACCTTGTACTCATCTGTGACACTGAGGGTATGTCTAGACTATATGGCTCAGTCGGCGAAGCCATGTAGATGAGTTTACTAGACACAGGAAATGAAGCGGCAATTTAAATAATTGCCGCTTCATTTACATCAAAATGGCCGCCGCGCTGTGCCAATCAGCTATTTGGCGGCACAGTGGGGCAGTTTGGATGCGCTGCGGTTGACAAGGGAAGCCTTTGTCGACCACTCCGGTATGCCTCGTGAAATGAGGTTTACCGGAGCGGTCAACAAGGGCTTCCCTTGTCGACCACAGCGCATCCAGATTGCCCCGATGTGCCGCCAAACAGCTGATCGGCACAGCGTGGCGGCCCTTTTGATGTAAATGAAGGAGGTAATATCTTCTATTGGCCCAACTTCTGTTGGTGAGAGAGACAGGGTTTTGAGTTTACACAGAATTTTTTTTTCAGTTCTGGGACATTCAGGGTATGTCTAGACTACATGGCTCCGTCGACGGAGCCATGTAGTCTAGACATACCCTGAATGTCCCAGAACTGAAAAAAAAATTCTGTGTAAACTCAAAACCCTGTCTCTCTCACCAACAGAAGTTGGGCCAATAGAAGATATTACCTCACCCACTTTGTCTCTCTCATTTTTACTGTGTTCACTATGAAGACTGGTGTTTTTCTAATGGACTCCTGCTTGTTGTTCTAGGATTTATATTGTTGAAAAGCTGAAAAGGTTTCTATTATTTTAAACAGTGCAAATGAGGATACCAACCCATGCATTTTAAAATACAGTGGGTACATTAGGAAAACAATGAAACATTAGACTCCTTTACATCAGAATGGCATCTCCAAAAAGTAGAAAGATTTCTAATAGTCTTGTAACGGTCTCTCTAACCACTCCAC